TATGTGGCCCAGCTGAGCACTGCCTCTCCCCATCTTCAAGTCTGTCTGCACCCGGCTTCCGGAACACCACCCTTTGTACCCCTCCTCACCCACGGGGTGCTCCTTCTTAATCTGTTTGACTGATTTATCCGCACCCTCCTGACCTCAAAACACGGGAGTAACCCGGGGCTCATTCCTCAGACCTCTAAGTTTATACCTCTTCCCTAAACTCTATGCTCATGTTGATTACCACCGTTTCTTAAGTAAATGCATTAAGGCAGGAACCTCGTCTATCTTCACAGTTATACTCTGCAGTTAAAAGCGTGCTTAGCACAGTGCTCGATACTGATCTTTAAATTTGTGGGTACTGCTAAAAGAAACACCAATATGAACATTCCGAAAGGGCAACAAACAAGCTTTAGCCAATTTTAAGTAGCTGCACCTTTTGACGCAGCCAGTGGCTTAACAGAAGGCAATTCCAGACATCGTTTTCCAAGCATGCGGTGGCCAGGTGATCTGGGTTGTCCCAGACCCAAGAACTGGAACCTCCAAAGTGATGGATTACACACCATTCAGAAAATTTGCTGTGAAAATCTGTTCTCATTCTCACACCATCTGTAAGATTTGGAGAGCAGAAATCTCAGGGGCATATTCTTCCAGGAAGAACACGGAGTAAAAGAAATCTGCGCTGCCAATTCAGAGCCAAACCACAGCCAATCAAGGGGTGCACATGAAGGCTGGTACCATCTCGAAAAGTTAAGCTTCCAAAGGACGGGCAAAACAAGGATCTAGTCTACAGTTCTTTGAACAAGAGAAAAAATAAATACATGATTGATTTTCCAAAAGTCCAGGCCATTTCATAGCTTCTCAGGCTACGATCCATAAAAAGCCAATTAATCTCAGCAACAGAATCAATCTCACATGCATGCTGTTGAGCAAAAGTAACCAGACACAAAAATGAGGATCTACCACCCATTTCCACTTCAGTGCAAGTCGACGGGCGAAGGCGGGAATTTTCAGTAGCAACAGAAATGGCGGCTATCTTGATTTGGATAATAATAGTTAGGTGTATATAGTTTTTCACCACTCGAACTAAATACTTATGATCTTTGCATTTTAAATTGAGTTATAATTTATATTCATAGAACAAATGAGCGTATCCTTCAGTGAGTCCCTGTGGAAGGCGGGGATGGGGGGGTGGGAAAGATAAATATAAAGGATCTCTTCCCAGTGGGATTTCTCACAGCCCTCTCTATGTTGATGTGTTCTGTAGATCTCTAATGGGAGTCTACAGGATGCAGTATTTTCTAGAATCCTTGGCTCAAGAAAATTTTTTTCGCCCATGTAGTAGCACCATAAGTCACTAATGTTTCAGAAACCAATAACTCTAACTCTAGCCTGCCAAAAAAAAAAAAAAAAGAAAGAAAGAAATCCAAGCAAAGGCTATGAATACCACTGCAGCCATTTAAAAATAAAAAGTTGTCATCTAATTTTAAGCAATCCTATTCTGGTAAGCCATCCAGAATAAACAAGTTACAGAATGTACCCCCTATAGAAGCCCCATTAATCACTGGAGCAATCCTGCCCAGAGTAGTACATTTTCTTTTGGAGTTGCAGACTTTAAATTCCTCTGGCGGTAATTAGATAGTAAAACCAGTTGTCTGTTGAAGAACAAGTTTATGACAGGAAGCATCCATCAACAGAGACAGCACCTATCTTTCTGTCCTCCGTAAAAATATGCAACTCATCCAGAGGGGGCATGAGGGCATTAAAACACAAATTAAAAAGCAGAGGTCTTGGGTTCGGTTCCCCAGGAAGCTGACACAGACAGACTTGAGTCTGGCCGATTTGCTGGGGCGAGCTCCAGGCCCACACCTGTAGGGGCGTCAGGGGAGCGGGACTGGGCAGAGGGAAGCTACCTGTGATGCAGTGACGACAGAGGCCTCCGCCATCCCGTGGGAAGTTCTGCGACCAGGTGGCCCTTCAGGATTGTCCAGCCCCAAGGCCAGCAGGCCAGACTCTTACACCCTCACAACAGACCAATCATTGTGTGGGGGCAGCCCTGGGGGTTTCGGAGGGAGAATCAGCTGAGAGGCACCTGCCCCTCGTTTCAGCTGCAGGGGAGAGTGAGTGTCTGAGGCAAGGGGGCGGAGCTGCACGCGGATGGGGGCGGAGCTGCACGCGGGTGGGGGCGGGGCTGCACGCGGGCGGGGGCGGAGCTGCAAGCCGTGGCGTCCAGGCCTGTGGCCAATCCGCACCCCTCTTCCTCCAAACCTGCAAGAAAGCCCTCCTACCAAGTCTAAATCTCATGCTATTCATAGGCAAGCCAGGAGCCTAGAGTTTACCCCCATTGCCTTGTCCAGAACAAGTATTCCTAAAACTGCCATAACAACTGCAGATAAACAGACGGTTGTTAACAAAGTCTTTTTCACAGCGTAAACCGTATTACTGAGCGACGCATAGGACTCGCCATGACTAGAAACCTGACTGTTCTTCGCGAAGGCTGATGGCCCGCGCACATAAGATGTGTCTCTAAGGAGAACTGTAACACGGCAATCCGTGAAAGAATTGGCCATCAAAAAATTTTACAGGCACTTCCCAACCCTAGAATTTTTTAACAGATCCCCTTGTTTATTTTAATACAATTAAATGAGTATCCCGCTGGACAGAGTAAGGAAAAAGGAGTTCGAGATTTGAGATTTGTCACCGATTCTGCTTTTTGATGGATGCTAACAAACAATCACTGCATTTATTCCTGGAAAACACGGAGGACTCCTTAGGAGATGCCACACTTGGTGTCGAGGGCACCGAGGTGAAGGAGAAGTGCACCGTCTGATCATAGCCTAATAAAGACAGGCAGGTGCGCAGGTACTTATAAATCAGCCACACATTCGTTAAACCAACACGCCCAAGCACCCACGACATGCCAACTGCAGACAAGATAAACACAGCTTTTACTGTTCTGGGGCTCGCGTGCAGCGTGAGCGGTGTTCGGGTGGAGACTGCCCCGGACACTGCAGGGTCTGCCTACCTTCGGAAGCAGAGCTGCAAAAAGCTCAGGAACAATAAGCTGAATAACAATAATAATGGCAACAATAATAATATAAATCCTCAAACTAATCTTTGAGGACTTAAAATGTGCCAGGCACATATGTAAATTTATGTAACTCTCAAACCAGTCCTGAGGTGGGTATTACTTCCTATTTCCCAATGAGAAAATTAAAGCAAAAAGAGATTAAGTTGCTTAATCAACGTCACAAGGTGGTAAGTGGCAGCAACGGGATGCACAGGGCACATAACTGGACCTGAGTCTCGAAACCGCAGTAAGAGTTTGCCAGACAGTAAAGGAGTCGGGGGCAGAGGCGGGGAGCGCGTTCCAGACACAGGGAAATGTGAGTAGAGATGCTCAAAGAGCGTCAGGAACCTGGAAGTCTGTTTGCATGTAGGTTGTCTGTGGGACAAGAACAGGTGCCCAGGCCTGAAATGTGGGCCCAGTGCGGGAGGGGCAGCGGTGAGGTGTGTGCCCCACCAGGGAGAGACTGCGGGAATGTAGGCAGGAGCTGAGGGGCGTGGCATTTGTTTTCTAATTAGGATAAAAAGTGGCTAACGTCCATTAAAAGCATCGTAGGAGCCAGAGATGGGGTGAACATTTGCACACACGACCTCACCTGAGCCTCACTACTGTCTTTGGAGGGAGGCACTATTACTGCCTCCTTTGACTGGTCAGAATACTTGAACCCTAAAGGGAGCAACTAGATAGTCCGGGGTTCTACTCGCTGGAGTATTTACAGAGCTGGGATTCCACAGGAAGCCTGTGCCCCCAGCTGCCTTCTCCAAGAAGCGGGGAGAGGTGGTAAGGGGTCCCCACGCATGTTTTAGCCCAGGAGGCGCACGATGCAGCCTCTCACCAAAGGGGGTGAGCCGTGGGCTGGAGAGGAGATCTGAGGAATATGTTTCCAGAGGCGGCGCTGCAGCAGAAGCTCTGCACTGAGGATGAAGGCAGAGACGTGAAGAAATGGTGAGCCGAGAGCTTGGGTGGAGAGACACGCCCAGGGTGAGCAGCGGAATGGGCGTGAGATGGAAGGGGCTAAGGCCCAGGTCCCCTGCGCTGTTGGCGGGAGGCCCCGGGGACAGCTGGATACTTAGGTCTGGAACTGAGGACAATAATCTGCCAAGAAGGTACCGATTTGCCCCAAACAGGTTGAAGTCACAAGAGTGTCTGAATTCGTCTAGGGAGAATACAGAGTAAGAAGAGAAGATGGTGATGGAGATCTAGAAAACCCCAACTTTTCAGAAAAAAAATTGATATTTTCTCATCTGCAAAAATAAGCAACTGTGTGTATGTGCATGAACATCCCTGCCTACATATACCTGAGCTAGGGCTTCTTCACAGGAAAAGCAGGCTGCCTTTGGTGTTATTTCTGAGTAAACAGGTTATTCATTCTCTTTCTAGTGTGAGTTTCTTCTGCTGAAGAAAGTAAGCTAGCTGAACGGTGTAGGTATTTTTTTTATTTTATTTATTTTTAAAAAATAAATTTTATTTAGTTACTTTTCAAGTACATTTTTTTATCTATTTCTCCCATCCCACCCCCCCACCCTGTTATTTAATAATAAATTAAAATAGTACGAACAGTTTCAGAGGTCTCCATCCAAATCTGCTTGGCCACCTAGTGCTCAAGTCGCCAACATGGGTGATTCCACTCTCAGGCGGAGGGCTGCAGGCGTTTGGAGGAAGCGCCCGGCTTCCAGGGACCCCTTCCCCCCCGGAGAAGCCGTTCTCTGGCCGAGTTCTGAGTTTTCTCTTCACCCTTTACGCCCAGGCATACCCCAGTGCAGCTCACCTACCTTAGCAATCGGTACAAAAGGCGATCTCTCCAGTTTCTCTCTTTTGAAAACAAAGGTAAACTTCCCAACGTTAACATGTGAAAGAGAAAAAAAGCGCCTGTGCGGTCCGCCCTCCTGGCTGTCGCTACCTTGCAGTTTATGACACAGTCAGAGGGAGGTCTGACGCCGGGGACGAGACAGCCTGCGAGCCGGCTGGTCCATTCCCGTGGAAACCACGCGTGCCTGGGAGCCGGCAGCTCTTCTACTTGGCGGTGCGGTTTCTTTTGTGGCTCTGAGAGCCGCTTATGAATGAATGATGTGTCAACGTGTGCCTCCCTGAGGCCAGCCACCAGGGAGGGGTAACCCTGCCGAGCAAGCAGGGCGGCGGGGGGGAGGGCAGAGGACGCCGACGGGAACCTGGGGACCTCGCAATGCTGCAACTGGCTCGACCCCTACATGCAGTTTTTGAAATCGGCAAAACAGAAATCAAATTACTATCGCGCTATGCGGGTGGAAGCTCAAGGAGAAGGGACTGTGTACCGGCTTAATTATTGCGAGAGATGGGGCAACTCACAGAACGGCAGTGTGTCGGAGGTGCGGATCCTGAAGACAAACAAATGTAAGTTCTCAGAGTCTCATGCTATATTCTATTTATCTGTGTGGTTTTCTTTCTGGCTTGTGATCATGCTGGGTTGAAACGTAATTATTTCACAATGAGAATTTCTAGTGTGGAAAGTTGTTAATCTTTGCTTAAGACTTTTTTTTTTTTTTTTGCCTTTTATTAACTAAGCAACATAATACAAGCTGAAATTCCTGACAGCAGCTGTGGCGATTTAGCCTCAGACAGAACTAGAACCCAAAGTACATTCAATTACTATGGGATTAACACTGGATGTGTTTTTAATTGACTTTCTTAATGCAGAAGGCATGCTGCCCCGCTGTTCTGGATTGCATGCTATTTTAATCCTGCTGTGGCTAACCTAGTGAGAGCAGCATGACCAACAGAATGACATAGGGATGGAGATTCCTGGTAGTTACAAACTTTTCTTTTTTGGCCAGGAACACATTTTTTCTCCCCCGAACGCTCAAAACTCTGCAACCTCTATGCTCAAAGTTCATTCTGCTTTTTTTGACCTTGTTTTGGAGAAAGCAATGAAACGAAACAGAGGACTCTACTAAAATTGTGAAGAAGGGACACATAAATTGTCACTGCGGTTCTTGAACTCTATGGCAATCATGGGAGGGAAAGGGCCAGTCCACAGAGCCCCGCAGGTCCACCGGCCTCAGGGTGACTGAGCCTGGGGACGTGAAAATGGATGGTGAGCACAGCCTATACCTCCTTAGTTTTCCTACACTTCATCTGCTGCAAGTTCCGGCGTAGCCATGGATTTTCTTTGTGAAGAAAACACTTCTCTGAGCTCGAGTACGAACTCCCTAATGCAACCGAATGATGGCACAGGGTTCCACAGTCACAGCTGTCACTCCGGGGAAGCGAACACTTCAGACGCGTTCAACTGGACGGTGGACTCGGAAAACCGCACCAACCTTTCCTGCGAGGGCTGCCTCTCGCCACCCTGCTTCCTACTGCACCTCCAGGAGAAAAACTGGTCCGCCCTGCTGACGGCCGTGGTGATCGTCCTCACCATCGCGGGAAACATACTCGTCATCATGGCTGTGTCCCTAGAGAAAAAGCTGCAGAACGCCACCAACTACTTCCTGATGTCCCTTGCCATAGCTGACATGCTGCTGGGTTTCCTTGTCATGCCTGTATCCATGTTAACCATCCTGTATGGTGAGTGGCATCAGCTTCCCAGCCGTCCCCACACGAGTAGTGGACAGCATGTGTATGTCATTAGCCGAGGATGAGCCAGGGCTCGGGGACAAAATAAACATGAGGCTTTGTTAATAAACAAGGGTACCGTGATACGATAGTTACTTAAACTTCAACGATTAAATGGGGTTACACATAAAAAAAGGGCAACCTATTACTGTGATCACTGGAGAGTTTTGGCCGGGAAACATGTGCATGTTATGTAGAAATGATTCTAAGTGCCCTAACACAGTCCTAAAGCAATAACTTATCTGTCATCCTAAATCCACTTGATTTTCACTCCTTTCAATTCCACAATATCTCAGCCTTTAGGACAGAACAGTTTAATCTTTTGTCACAGTTTTCAGTACTTCTAATGTAGTGAGAAAACCTTCCCAATTACCTTGGAACATTTGCAGAGAGAACATCGTGATGCAGTGGGTTTAATGTTAAAATATGCAGCCTCCATTAGAATAAATGAATTACTCCCGGTTTCATTGTTCCGGGCCCAGGGAAGCTAATTTGGATCAGTGCCTTTGAATTATGCCCTCAACTCTTTAAAAATGCATATGCATAAACTCTGTGGGTCTGGCGTGGAGGGGGGTGGAAAACAAACGGGAAGAGGTTAATCTTGCTTTCTCTTCAGCAGAGTTTTAAAGAGTCAGACATCTGAGCAAGTCAGCCACGGCTGGGGGTGGCGGGAGGGTGGGGGAGTGTAGCTTCAGCTGGGAGCAGAATGAGATATTGTTTCCAAATTATGAGTAATTCGGCCAGACTTCTCCTTTGAGAGAGAGAGAAACAGACAAACAGAGAGAGAGATTGAATACAGAGACTGCTGACGCAAGCATCCAGAGCTAGACACAGGTTGAGGGCTGTCTTTAGGAGGGGATTTTCTGGCCAAGTCCCGGGGGGCTAAAAAATACATCAGTCCGGCCCCCATTTGTGGGAAGGAGGGAGGTGAGCGAGGGAGAGAGCAGCCTCGGGTTTGCACAGGCTGGATAAGGCTCCTGGCAACACCAGCCCGCTGGACCACTCCAGTGTCACAACCGGATCATTCCGTCCAGTCCCAGACATCCTGGACAGGTCCGGCCTGCCTAAAACCGCACCCCTCACCGAGGCCAATTCTAGGAGTGGGGGATGACTCTCTCCACAGGGCCTGTCCTGGAACCAAAGCGCCAAGGGAGTGTTGGAGGGAAGACCCGGAGCGGCAGGTGGTGGGGGGCGTGGGGGTGGGGCGCAGGCACCAGCCAGCTGGGTTCGGAAGCTGGGACCTGCCCGGAGGCTCCGGCTCCGGGGACAAGGGCGCCCCTGGTGGCCGCCGCTCCATGCGCAGCCAGTTCCCGCGGCGAGCTCCTCGGACGCGTCCACCGGGGAGAGGAAACGCCCCCTCCTTATCTCGGTGCGCAAGCCGGGACCGAGGCCTGTGGCTGCCTCGGCGCAAAGAAAACGCCTCGAAGGGCGGGCATCAGTTCCGTTCAGCCGAGCAGGGCTTCCCCCCAGGCGCTGCCAAGGAAAAGGCTCTCGTTTTAGCAACAGCCCTTTGCAAACGATCGTTGCGAAGGGCACCGAGTTAGGCTCGCACCGCGCAACCTTTACTTTCCCGACGACCCGAGGTGGCCTTTTGGTAGAGTGTGTTTGAAAAATGGAGAAAAATGGAGAGTTTGTTCTGCTTTGTGGCGCTGGACTATGGTGAAGAAAAGGTGGTCTTTATAATTTTCCTTCTCACTTGCACACCGATCTGACACCATTGCTTTTACTGTTACAATGTTAATTAGGTTTATATAACCATTTGATTCCCCCTCAAACATAGAAAGAGAGAGAGAGAGAAACAGGGCCCTCTGCTTCTTCCATGAAACACAAGCTAGCTCCCTAATACAGCAGGTGACCCCAGTCAGCGGTCCCATTCCCACCCCCACCCCCACTCCCCCCCAGCCCCCGCCAGCCGTCCAACCACCCTAGAAACACTTAGTGTTCGGGACCCACACACACCCACCCTTCTGGGCAGTCTGATACCTCTCAAGCTCTCCAGCTGCTTCTCCTGCGAGGCCCAGAGTGAAAACTAACGCCCTAAACAGGGGTTGCCCGGGTGGGGCCCTGGACCAGCAACATCAGCAGCCCGGGGACCCCTGCCCCACTGCAGACTGACAGGGTCAGAGCCTTGCAGGCGGGCTGCACCTCTGAAACAACGCTCACCAAAGTTGGAGAACTGCCACCCTGAAACGGTGTGGGACCAGAACGCGGGGCTCTAATTCACCATCGCATTTATCCCCCCCGCCCCCCCCCACAAGCCCCACATTTGAGTTTAACCCCCAAAGCATTATTAGGCGATGATCATTCATTTTCACAAGTAAAGACATACTCTCATTCTGGATTTTCAGTCATTTGTTCCTTCATGCCAATAGCATTTATTGAGAGACTACTAAATGCCATCCCAGGGTAAGACCAAGCAGTTACAATAGTGACTAAGCGTTGGGCCGACCCTCGGGACACCCAAAGTATTCAAAGAAGTCAGGACGGTACATGGTGAGGATTTCAGTGGAGGGGCTGAAAATAGATCATAACTTATGACCTAAGTAATTTAAAAACAAAAAATAAATAAAATAAGAGATGTATCTGTTAGGCAGAAGACAGGGAAGGGGAACCTGTTCAGGCCAACACACCGAAACAGCCCCTCCAGAACGAATTCTCAGGCCTGGGTTCACCAGCCTTTGAAACTTTATTGCAGTTCACCATCGGGCTTTTCTGAAACACTGAAAATAGCTTCTGTTGCCCTTTGCTGCCCCCCTCCCCCGCCCCGAGACGAGACTGTTGCAGCCAGGGAGACACACAGGCCAGGGCGGCTCCCCGCCGCTTCCTGACGCTGACCCTGCGCTTCCGCCCCCCAGGTTACCGGTGGCCGCTGCCCAGCAAGCTCTGCGCGGTCTGGATTTACCTGGACGTGCTGTTCTCCACGGCCTCCATCATGCATCTCTGCGCCATCTCGCTGGACCGCTACGTCGCCATCCAGAACCCCATCCACCACAGCCGCTTCAATTCCAGAACGAAGGCATTTCTGAAAATCATCGCTGTTTGGACCATATCCGTAGGTAAGTGGGGACAGCGGTGCAGAGTCTCGTTTGAAATGACGGTTCACGCCTACTGAGGAGACGTGTTCTGTTTTGTTGCGCGGAGACCGAACGCCCTGAATCTATCATTTTCTTTGTTGCAAGGTATGTCGCAGCATCGTCATTATCAGATTGGCTTTAGGAACAAAACATCCATTCATGTCACTGGCTGACAACCTAAATTTGTGTTGTTTTGCACAAAGAAGAATGTGTATGCCAATAGAGTCAAAATCAGGAAAAAACTGTGACTGGGCACCTTCTAAAACTTTTCCCCCAACTCACACTTTCAAATTCACTGGGGTCTTGGGTTTCCCAGAGACCTCAACATTTATAGCCCCTGGACTTGAGGTCAGTACGAGACTACAGAGCCCCATACTGGAGATTTCGAGACTTCTGGGGACTAGGAAAGGCGCCAGGTGCTGTAACTCAGAGGGAGCTGGTGGGAGGGTGTTCTGGTGGGGCGGGCATTTCAGCCTGCCCAGCGCCTCTGCGTCCCTCACTTCTGTTAGGACACCTCACACCACAGGATTTCAACCTGCTTCCCTGGGGCAGGTGACAGAGCCAGTACTGACCTTCCATCACACACTTCACAGTCAGGAAGGCCCAGGTCACGGAAGCTTTGGGCAGCTGAGTCACTGCACTTGTCACCTCCACAGGCTTCATCTGTAACCAGAGCTTCCCAGGGATTTGTTTTAAAGCCACAGAGCTTTGCAGGCAGAATCCTGCCTCTGCTCGTGGCCACCGGGTGTCGGTATCTATTAACGTGAGAGACCACAGAATGTGATGGCAGGCATGAGTGTACGCACAGCTTTGTTCCAAGGATGCAAATTGATAACAAGCAAGCCATGCAATATCTTTGGTTTCGGTTCTCATTTTTCACCTTGCTACTCACCGTGTGACCTGCAGAGTAGGTAGCTCCAGTCTGCAGGTGAGACAGCGAGGTCAGGAAGTGCAAGACCAGCCAAGCTTTTATTTGATTATGATGCGAATGCTCACAAGTTACATTTGTGTGGTTTTCAACATTTGGAAAAGTCTCAGCTGTTTTCCATGTTAAACTACACAAGCTGGCTCCCTAATACAGCAGGTGACCCCAGTCAGCGGTCCCATTCCCACCCCCCCCCCCCCCCCCCCCCCCCCCCCCCCCCCCCCCCCCGCCAGCCGTCCAACCACCCTAGAAACACTTAGTGTTCAGGACCCACACACACCCACCCTTCTGGGCAGTCTGAAGGAGGCAAAAACAGAAGATTTCGCCACCCTCATGACATGGATGAGGCAAGCGCAGCAGGGCTGAACCGGCAGCGCTGAACCCCGCTCCCACTGCTGGACACCCCTCCTTACTTAGGGGGCACTTCTTGCTCCCCCAGTTGTTTGTGGGGGCTGGGCCTGGGCTGTGTTGGACCCATTCTACGAGGAGCAAGAGAGTGAGAAAGGCAGAAATTATAAAGAAACATGTCGACATAGCTGGCTACCTGAGAAGTTGTAAGTTTCTATGGCTAAGCTCAATTATAAGCAAAATCAAGAGGAAAATACTTCTGTGTGTATGAAAAAGAGGACAAGGATTGATCTCCTTAATGTACATTTTGATAAAAAAATGAAAAGACAAACAATCCAATAAAGAAATAAACTATATGAAAAGGTGATTCACAGACACACGTAACTTGAAATGGGCATTAAAGCTCATGAAAAAAATGTTTAGCCTCTTTGACAGTCATGGAAATGTAACTAAAGACAATAACGCAATACCATTCTTAGCCACCTGATTGGCAAAATTAAAATGAGTGAAAACAGGCAGTGTGGTTTGGGGCGCAGGGCTGTGCTCTGTCATAACCTGTTTGTGCAAACAAATCATTTGTTCTTGGACAGTGTAGCAGAAGTTATTAAAATCTGACCTGCCACTCCCTTGAGAGAATGGAACTCTTTGCTACAAACAGCAAAAGTGCACATTAAAGATTCTTTAATACAGCCATTTGGGGGAGTAGCAATTTTGGTGGAAAGGTTGGGTTATGGTTGGATATAATTGGGTTACGGGTGTTTTTATCTAAATTTCAGAATATTTTGCAGCATATGGAGTTGGGGTTATTTGATACTCGTGGAAGAATATCCATGATGTTAAATGCAAAACTCAAGCTTTGGGGTGCTGTGCGTGATCTGAGCCCATTCTGATACAATAATAATGGTAATAATATGTGGAGATAACTACGTATTAGCACCAAGAAACTGTTAAGAGACTTTGCACTTGTCAAGAAGGAGAACTTTAAAAGAATGGCAGGGGTATTATTATGTTTTTCCTTGTGTACTGCTGTATAGTCTTGTCACAGATATGATGACGATGGTAAAGTGCTGTGGGAAAACCAGTTACACCAGCGGGTGAGAGGGAAGGCTCCCTGGAGGAGGTGGCTGACCTTCAGCGTTTATGAGATGTCGCAACTGCAGCTGCGTCACCCCACCCTTGACCACTCGGCTTCCTAACTCTAGTTATTTCTAAGGGGCACTGCTGCTACCCACGGGTCACCACTACTAGTGTGGTCACTTGACGTTTTCCCAAGGCTTCCATCCAATGCTGAGGAAAATGAGTATAATTACAAAGGAGTTGCATTTTTCTATTCGCGAGCTTCTCGGAGTAAATGAGGGATGAGAGAGAAGACCTGTGCATTAGATTACAAATGAGCCCAGAATTCTCTGTGCACTTCGTTTTTCCTGCACAAACCCCGCTATTCATGACCAGAGGTAACTGTGACTTCACTGCATGATACCCAGCAAGCACACCCTTCTGGAGTGTGTTGGCCTTGCTAATGCCACTGGAGAATAGAAAGAGAATGCAGCTTAGTCCTCAGCCATCTGCAGCAGGTAAAGGCGTAAACCAGATTTTAAAAAAAGGAAATGAGTATTTTCACATTGTCATATTTTGACAGGCAAGCAGAGATACCAATTTATATTTTATTGTACTTATTTCATTTCAGAAATATATTTGTACTTCATGGAGGAATTTTGAGATGTAATGGATCTAAAGAGAAAAAAAAATGTTTTCCCGTCAAGGCCAAGGATGACCACATAGTTCATGCGTTATTCCTTTTGTAGAGAAAAGGCAAGCTGGTCACATCGATTTGGGGCCTGTACTTCTCCAAACCATGACAACAGTGCCTCAGTCCTAAGCTCAAAGCCTAGGTCCCTGGGTCACCCCTCTGGCCTTCAGGAAGGTCAAAAACCCACCTTCCCCCCCAGGTAGGACAGGTTATTAAGAAGCTTTGAGGGACAGTAGAGATGACATGTCTCACCGTAGTTTTGTTTGTAGTTTTTTTACTTAAGATTTTGAGTATGTTTTCATGTGTATGAGCAAAGTCATATTTAGATTTCCAAGACTGTTGCCACAGTTTTGGCTGTAGACCTCGGTGTTTATCTGCAGGGAGTCTGGGTCGAGATGGCTCGTTCTGCCGCTTACAAACCGGGTGACCGAGAGCAAGTCAGTGAGGCTCTCTGTCCCTCAGGTTCCCACGGAACAAATGCTGAGAGTAGCCGCACCCATGTCATGAGTCTGTTTTAATGAGTGAGTGACTCAGTATCGTGTTTGTGTCACAAGTGTTGCAGGTTTGCACCATGACTTGAGCTTCTCTCTGTAAGGTTCTTGGTGTTTTCCAACATGAATGAGGGGGATTCGCTCTCCGGCTGTGTTGTGACACTTCTGTGCGTTCTCTGGATGCCACTTGTCACTTGGTGGTATTGCCACAGGGATTTTTATTTTTATATCATTTTTATTTCTGAATGTTTATCTCCTTTACAGCTTCTGAATGTTGAGTCATTGCTAAAATGGCCTTTCCCCTACACAGTTATGAGGGGGCTCTGCCACCTTTTCTTCCATGGCTTTGACGGGTTTGTTTTACAGTTTTCTCTTCAAACCAGTTAGAATTCGACCTGGGATTTAACTATTTTTTTCCATCCAGCTACTCATACCAGTCCCATTTATTTCGCCACTGGTTTGATCTCTCTTTCCCACACACCGAGTTCCCACGTATGTGGGGGCAGGCGCAACAGTAGGTTTACAGCTGCGAGTACATGAGTTCATGTTTGTATTACCATTTATTAATGCTTTTATTATTTTCCACATAAACAACTTTTTCCACATTCTGTATTTAGATTTGTTTTTGGCCTTTTTCTGTCCTAATGACCAACCTGACCATGCACCTGGAGCTTTCAATCCAGGGCATAGAATTATGGCTTTTGTTACCTTTTAAATCCCCTAGGCCCTCATTTTCTTCTTTTCCAGATTTTTTTTACCATTTCCATTTGTTTCTTATATGAGTTTTAGAAACCCAACTTATATAAAAAATTGCTTTTTTTTTGGAATTGTGTGTAGCTTTATAGATCAACCCTTTCAACCTTTTGGCTGGCACACCTATGAACTTGGTCCTATTTTTCTTTTTCTTTCTTTTTTTATGGGGGGGGGAATGTGTGAGCAGCCTCAAATTGTATATGGAATGAAGTGAATATATGTAAACAAATATAACTAATAAAAATCTTAATACTCAGGTTTTAAAAAATTACATGCACGTTCAGGTCGGAGCGGAGTGACCGTTGAATACGTATGTTTAATTTTTCTATCGTCCCATATCTTCTGAAGAGAATGCTTAGAAAGATGCCAAATAAATCAGCTGCATAAGTCGCCCGGGAACCAGATGGTGTTCTGTTGGCCTTTCTCGGAGGCGTGCGGCCGGCTCCACCGCCCGAAGCAGAGTGTCTGCGGAGCCCGCTGGGGACCCTCTCCTCGGGGGCTGGCAGGTTTCTGCCCGCCTCGCTTGCTGCCAGGAGTCAGCCCACGGGGTAGGTGTCAGAGAGCCATCAGGCAACCTGTCTCCATATACTGCCCGGGGACCTCGTTGTTGGTGGGCCCCTGACCTTCCAGGATGCAGAAGGAGCCTGGGGAGGAATCCATCTGATGGCCCTTCCCCCCAGCTTCTCTAGGTCCACGTTTTCTCTCTTGGGCACAG